TTTTTTTTTTTCTTACAAGAATTTCTAGTTTAAGGATGCTGTCTTTCCAGTGCTACAAAGTATGATTAATGATTGGCTTTTTTAGTGGTAGGGGAAGGGTTGTGTGTTGTTGTATGGTTTTCTGCTAGGAGAGGGGTTCTCTTGTTTCTCAGGTCTCTAAATTTTGCTGTTTTGAGTTTTCCACTGTTCCCTGATCTTCAAAGGGCCCATCGTCCTTCCTTCTTCACCAGAAGTTATACCCTTTGAGCACTGTCCACTTGACTTTTGCACAGTCTTTTAAGTTCCTTCTCTCTAGTCGGTGCTGTTTTACCAGGCCTCTCTCCGTACAGGCTGTCTTCACTTTGCATGGTAGCGCTGGACCATAATGATAACCATGGAAGCCGAAATGATGCAAAGGGATTTTAATGATCAACGGGAAAAATTATGATTGCTCTGTGATGTTTAAAATTTTTTGCCAAAACATTGAAAACTCTTGCTGTCAGTTGCAAATGTATAGAGAATTTTTTAAATAGTAAAATCAATATTTAGTACACTGTTATTTAAAACATTAGAAATATTGAGAATTAAAATGTTTTATTTGTTTATACAATGCTTTGCCTTCTCATCTTATAACTTACGATGTGGAGCAAGCATCTTTTCTGTGTCTTGGCAAATGATCATACTCTTCATAAGTTTGTATCAGCTTCCAACATTTTATCCTTTGTGTTTTCAATATTGTGAAATGTATCTGAAAATTCCTTTTATGTGAAGTTCTTCTGCCAGTAGCAGTTCTCTAGTACATCTTCATCCTTTTCATTACAACCCCTTCCTTTGTTCATTTTAGCTTCACTTAGTTCTTTTGACTGCGTATCCAGAGTCTCTCAAACAGCAGCATTGTCAACATTCCCATGGTAGCTATTTCTTCTATAACTCTGTTTGATTTCAATTTCATTTTCAGTGTTATGGTTTTTATTTCGTTACAGTACTTTCATCTTTGGTGGCTTAGTCCCCTCTTTTGGTTATACCTTTTTATAAAACGTCATATGGGTCTCTCAACTACACCCCTTTGCTCTTTGAACTGAATAACATGGGCAGTGACCAACTACTAACAGACTTTGCAAAAAGTTTTATTATTGGTCACTGATAGTGATGCACATCTGCTATTTATGTAGTGATTTGTGGATTGAAGAGCTAACAGTGAAGTTTTGTAATTTACGCAATTACAGCTAATACACCATGGTTACCGAAATTGGAACCATTTTGTATTATTTAAACTATAGTAACTGGAATTTGTGCATGTCGGAACTGTGCAAAACGAGGACTGCCTGTATTTTCACACTTAGGGTGAACTTTCTCTTTTAG